CTCCTACTGCTCTACGCAGCCATAACTCTGAAAAAAAATTCTGTATTCTGCCTTGCAAAAACAAGGCACATATTATTTTCAGGGTATGTTGTATGTGAGCAAAGACGGTATTTAAGAGAATTGAATCTAGCAACTTCCAAAGAGAAATTTTCTTTTCCCCTGTCCTATTTCATATGCTAATACAGTCTGATCATGCCTGAGAGGTCAACCTAACTGAGCACTTCAGTGTTCTGAAAGAAATGAAGGACCATCAGGGTGTTTTGCATGAAGATATTGATGTAATACATGCAAGTGTTATCAAATTACTATTCTGCTCAAGTCTTATGCTTAATGACTGTCTAACAGTGAAATAGCATGTGATCCCATTCTTTAGAAGGCCAGCTGCTTTGCTAATTGAAGGGCCTTTTAGACTTGAAAACTGCTTTGACTATTATATTATTATACAACTTACACTGTCAAGCAGAATATTGGGGCCACAAGTCAATGGAGTTACACTAGGGGTGAATCTAGCTCTTAGCTACAGATACTTAATCTTTTAAGGAAGGTTTTAAATTTTAGATCTAATACTTGTTATTATATATTATTACACACATTTTATATAATACACATCATTTTCACTACTTTTTTTAAATTAAGGAGCATAAAGTAGTTCAGATTAAAGTCAACCCATGAGTAATTGAATTCACCTACAATAGCTTTGAAAACCTTGTAAAGAGCTTTGAGGTGCCAAATCATCAGTGATGAAAGAAAATCTAAGTTTTAATATAGCTGCATATTGAAACAAAATGTAAAGAAAACCTACTGGAGTCTTGAAAGGAAAACAGTGCCCTTCTCTGGAAGAGTTTCTTATTCCATTTCTTTTAACATTTTATTTTCTGCAATTTTTTATGCTGATGCAACCCCACTGATTGTAAAGGAATTGCATTAGTACAGAATGTAATTTGAGACAATAAAGACTAAAGCCCTTAAATGTGTACAAAACATGTTGATATTTTCACTGTGATGTTTGTTCAGCTTCAGAGTACACTCACTTTCACCTCTGGCTGATAGAGATCAGTCTAAGTGCAAATTCGATGCTAAATTTTAGGTGAGTATGGAACTCAGTTATAATAATGTTTTTTTGGGTGCATCTACATGTGCAATTAATGCAAAGTAATAAGCTCCAGAGTTAATTGCTCCAGAGTTTATTGTTCTCAGGTACACTGTTTTAACTCTGGAGTTTATTGCCATTGGAACATGCACCCAGGAGCGTGCATATTGACCTGGGTTGGAGAAGCCTTGGCTGGCAGAGAACCCTGGTTGGCAGAGATCCTGCCAGCCCATGACTTCTCCCACTGGCTTACCATGTTGTGGAAGGGCTGGCTGGGGCATGAGGGTGTTTCAGCACCTGGTTAGCCAGCAGGCAGCCCCCACACTGAAGCATCTCCATGCCCCAGCTAGCCCCTCTAGCATCTACATATGCACTGCTGCAGAGTTTTTTTACTTCACAGCAGGATAGTACTTGTATTTACATGTACCCAGGAGTGTGCACATTGAGCTGTGTCAGAGAAGCCCCGGCTGGCAGAAAGCCTGCCAGCCCAGGACTTCTTGTATTTACAAGTACTATCCTGCTGTGGAGTAAATTAGTTTAATAAGGGTGTACATGTAGATGCCAAGAGGTTTACTGTGCAGCTAATTAGTCTACTGTACAGTAAACATCAGATGTACCCTTTGATACTTAACTCAATATTCAAAGACACCGATACAATTTTCCACGTTTAAATAACATTTGAAACCTGTTTCATAAAGGTTATTAGCATAGCGTCAAACTATGGAGCACCCAAAAAACTCAGAGGAAAATAAGGATTTGTTAAACCCTCTCTTCTGCTACAAGTAACTATGTAGCTAGAAGAGCTAGTGAGAGCAGAGGACATCTACTGTTAGCTGCTTTTTCTGAGCAGGTAGGGAAAAAAGTGTATACACCAGAAATGAACTTAAACTCTTTCTCAAAGGGAAGCAAGGGAAAATCTTGTATTTTATTAGTCAGAATAAAAACAGTTTCTTATCATTATTTTTAATGTGTTAAAATTACAGATTGAACCATACAATAGGCAAATGTGGTATTATTTATTAATTTAGAAATCTGGACTATTTCACATTTCTTCATTTACAATGACCCCACAAAACATTAGTATTTTACTGCTTCTAGAAGGGAATCCCTTTTTAAAGGCAGAAAATGAATGAGCTATCAATGTTTAGGTGTGTATACAGTATCTTCCTTTAAATAATGATATTTGCTGTAGCCTGTAACAAGTGTACATGGGTAGACAAGAACATTTCTTAGTATCTGAAATCAGAATCTATCATTTTCTATATACATCTTCTACACAAATGATTTGCAAAAAGATGCATTGCTATCTATTGTAGAACATCTGTTATTCCAAATATCTGTTCAAATACAACACTTGTTTTGTAAGATGCAGCATGCCATATTCTCAGTGATGTAAATAGATTTAGCATCACAGGTTTGGCTATTTACACCCAGTATATGGTAATGGCAAAGGTTTTATGTGAAAGTAAGAGTGAAATTTAAGGGTAAGAAAAAGCTTGAGGCTGAATCAATTCAGTCTTCACAGGTTAGTTTAAGCTGCATAGATTGAACCAATATGCAAATGAGCAGATATTCACTTTTGATTTAAAAAATGCAGCCAAATGCCTGCAGTGGCCAAGGCCAGAAGCCAGGGGAAGATAGAGCATACCTCCCTGTTTGGCTGGTGCAGACAGCTTTGGTCAAGTGTAGCCCACCCACCCTGCAAGGGGGGCAGTTTGCATGGGAGGTGCAAAGCTTCAGGGATGCTGGGGGACTGTGAGTTAATTTAAATCTGGAGGGGATCTGGGACAGAAGTTAAATTAATCCATTTCACCTGAATCAGTTAAGTCTGATACTACATCCATCCAAGCTAATCTTAAACAAGTTTCAGCCATTTTGAAAGTGGTTTATGTGCACTGAATGCCTGTTGGGTTACAGATTTCTGGCTTCTGATAACTTATACCAGTTTGTGTGTAACTTCTATCCCTAGCATAAAAGTTGATTTATGGTTTACATTCCCATACCTCCCACCCCAATACTGGAAACATTAATTTATTCTTCTTCCTTCGATACTTTTTTTTTGTTTGATAGCAGGAAAAACTGATCAAACGCCCACAAAGTATAAAAAGAATTTCTACCAATTCATCTGGTAAGAACAGATTTTTGTATTAGAAAATTAAGGTTAATTTTATGATACTATAGCATTTCTTCTGGTAGCCAATATTTTTTAATTAAACAAAATCTTTCTTTTCATATAAAAGACAAAGACCTGGAAAAGGCAATAACTATTATTATATTAAAGTGTTAAATTAAAAATAAAAGTGATTATTATTTTAGAGAGTTAAATAGATTTTAAAGTTACTAAATGAATGCTTTTGGCAGGATGCTAGATGGATGTTGCTATATTTATGTAATCATAGAAAATCAGGATGGTTTGTTCCTGTACTCTCAGTAAGACTTCTTTAAATTACAGCTAGCTCTCCTGGACTTCTCTTCCCCTCAAAGTGCCTTCCCAGGGGATCCTGCCCATGAGTGAGTCAAAGTCTGCTTTCTGAAATCCAGGATCCTTACTCTGCTGCTCTTCATCCTTCCTTTCCTCAGGATCTTGAACTCAGTCATCTCATGGTCACTGTGGCCCAAGTTGCCATCCACTACTACATTCCCCACCAATTCATCCCTGTTTGTGAGCAGCAGGTCAAGAAGAGCATGGCTCCTAGTTTACCATTCTAGCACTTGCTCCAGGAAGCTGTCCCCAACACCCTCCAAAAACTTCTTGGATTGCTTGTGCACTGCTGTATTACCCTCCAAGCAGATGTCAGAGTGATTGAAGTCCCCCATGAGAACCAGGGCTTGTGATTGGGAAACTTCTGCTAGCCGTTCAAAGAAAGCCTCATCTACCACGGCCTCCTCGTCTGGTGGCCTATAGCAGCCACCCACTGCAACATCACCCTTAACCCAGAGACTTTCAACAGGCCTATCTTCAGTTTCATACCGGAGCTCTGAGCAATCATATGGCTCTTTTAAAGTGATTCAATATGTATCAAAGAGTTTCATACTGTAAAAAATGTTTGAACCATTGCATTTATTTATTCTTCCCCACAGTTTAACTCATCACAAGTAATCTATAAAGTTAATTAACCCTCGTTTGTGCCCGAGTAGAGTTACATAAAAAGATACAAGCTGAACTCAGTGACTAAATGCCCACTGACTTATGGCAAGAATTTCACCCCTAGCATAAAATGTTTCCCATTTTGGAAATGTAAGAATTTATTTGCCAGCAGAGGAGTAAATATAATAGAAAACATTTAATGCATATTGAATCACTGAATAATAGAATCACAGAAAAATAGGGTTGGAAGGAAACTCAGGAGGTCATCTAGTCCAATCCCCCGCTCAAAGCAGGACCATCCCAAACTAGATCATTCCAGCCAGGGCTTTGTCAAGCCAGGCCTTAGAAACCACCAAGGATGGAGATTCCACCACCTTTCTGGGTGCTCCATGACATTTTGGTAGACTGAGGTGAGGTGATGCTGACCGGTTTACAGTTCCCTGGATTCTCCTTCTTCCCTTTCTTAAAGATGGGCACTATACTTGCCCTTTTTCAATCATCCAGGACCTCCCCGCAGTCACCACAAGTTTTCAAAGATAATGGCCAGTGGGTTTGCAATCACATCAGCCAAATCCAAAAGCACCCATTGAATCTGACCCCATAGACTTGAACAAGTCCAGCTTTTCTAAGTAGTCCCTAACCTGTTCTTTCACCACTAAGGCCTATCTATGCACCTTCTCCCCAAACTGTGCTGCCCAGTGCAGCTGACCTTGCCTGTGAAGACCAAGGTAAAAACGACATTGAGTACTTCAACCTTTTCCTCTTCATCTGTCACTAGGTTGCCTCTCCCATTCAGTAATGGACCTACACTTTTTCCTGACATTGCTTTTGTTGCTAAAACTACTTATAGAAACCCTTTTTGTTACCCTTCATGTCCCTTGCTAGCTGCAACTCCAGTTGTGCATTGGCCATCCTGATCTCAGAACCTGCATGCCCAAGCAATATTCTTATACTCCTCCCCAGTCATCTGTCCAAGCTTCCACTTCCTGTAAGCTTCCTTTTTGTATTTAAGCTCACTGAGGAGTTCTCTGCTAAGCCAAGGTGGTCACCTGTCATATATTCATAGATTGTAAGGGGCTGGAAGGGACCTCACAAGATCATCGGGTCCAGCCCCCATGCACTAGACAGGAAAGACAACTGGGCTCAGGTGAACCCAGCAAGGATACCGTCCAGTCTCCTCTTGAAGATTTTCAGGGTAGATGATTGTACCACCTATGGAGGGAGTTTATTCCACAGTCTGGACACCCTAACTGTGAAGAAGCTTTTTTCTAGCCTTAAGCCTGAAATGGTCTTTCAGGAGTTTGTGGCTATTACTCCTGGTTTTCCCCAAGAATGAACATTGTTTGCCTAACTCTTGATGTATTCCCCTGATGTAGCAGTAAGCTGCTATCAAGTCCCCTCTCAGCCCTCTCTTTTTTAGGCTGAAGAGGCCCATGTCCCTCAGCCTTTCCTCATATGGCTTGTCTTGCAAGTCTCTGATCATACGGGTGGCTCTTCTCTGGACTCTCTCAAGCTTTTCCGCATCCTTGTTGAAGTGTAGTGCCCAAATCTGGACATGGTACTCCAGCTGTGGTCTCACCAATGCCGAGTAAAGTGGAAGAATCACTTCCTTGGTTTTGGCTGAGATGCATCGGTTGATGCATGCCAGAGTATTGTTTGCCCTGCTGGCTACAGCACAGCACTGATTGCTCATGTTCATACTATGGTCTATTTTTACCCTCAGGTCACTTTCAGTTATGGTGCTAGTCAGTTTGGTGCCACTGAGCCTGTAAGTATGTTGGGGATTGTTTATCCCCAGATGGAGCACTTTACATTGCTCAATGTTAACCTTCATCTGGTTCCTACCTGCCCAACTTGCCAGCCTGTTTAGGTCTGCCTGTATCTGCAGCCTATCTTCAAGCATGACCATGGTCCCCCATCTGCAAACTTGGCCAGTGAGTGCTTCACCCCCACATTCAAATCATTGATAAAGATGTTGAAAAGCACTGGACCAAGCCTGGACTGCTGAGGGATACCACTGGCCACTTCTTGCCAGGATGACACTGATCTGTTCATTAGAACTCTCTGGGTCCTTCCCCACAGCCAGCTTCCTACCCACCTAACTGTTGAGCGGTTAACCCTGCACTCCTCCAATTTTCCCCTGAGAAGATCATGGGATATCAAATCAAAGGCCTTTTGGAAGTCTAGGTATACAATATTGACCTCCTCTCTCTTGTCCAGGTAGCGAGTTACATTTTCATACAAGGAGATGAGATTGGTAAAACAAGACTGGCCCTTGGCAAAGCCATGCTGGCTGTCATTCAGAATCCTACCTTCTGTGAACGCATCGCACATAGACTCGTTGATGAATTTTTCCAGGATTTTCCCTGGGATAGAATTTAAGCTAATTGGCCTGTAGGTGCCCAGGTCCTTGCCCCTCCTCTTCTTGAAGATGGGCACATTGGCCCTCTTCCACTCTTCAGGGATCTCCTCCGAGTGTCACGAGTTTTGGAAGAGTTTCACCAGGGGTCCTGTGATGACTTCAGCGCTCTCAGATGAAGTTCATCCGGTCCTGCTGACTTATGTCTAATTTTTCTATGTGATCATGCACTACCTCAACATCAATGGTAGGAAGGTGGTCATTCCCACCATGCCCACTCTGAACCTTATCTAGTATGATTTCCCCCTTATTCTGGGAAAATATCAAAGTAAAGTAATAATTCAGGAGTTCAGTTTTCTCCCGAGTGTTGGTAGCCACTTGTCCTGAGTTTTTCAGCAATAGCCCCACACTTCCATTTGTTTTCCTCCTGTTCCCTACATACCTAAAAAAGGACTTCTTATTGACCTTGATTTCTGTTGCTAGTTTAAATTCAGTCACCGCCTTACACTTTCTAATCTGCTCCCTGTCATATTTGCTATTCTTCCTAAAATACATTCTTTTAATATTTAAATATATTATTTTAATATTTGTAAAGAATAAGGGAATGAATGTATGTGTTAATATTTTGACTAACAGAGGCCCTATGGGATAACCTGTTGTACTGGCTGGCAGAGGAACTTTCAGAAGATAATGCATCGTTGCTTGCTCTGCATCTACGGATCCGGCGGAGTACACTTCAGCTTATTAGAGTTAAGTGCCCTGATAATTTAACAAATCAGATCTATGAGCTTCTTTGCAGCTGGAAGAGGAATCTTCCAAGATCAGCTGATAAACAACAGCTCCTTTCTCGTTATCTTCGTAAGAGTGGCCGGATTGATCTTTCAGAAGAACTCCGGTTTAAGTGCGAGAATAAAGTGTTCACTCAGCAAAGACACTGGTTTGAGATAAACAACTGAAAACCTGATTTCAATGTATCTTCACCATGGGAGGTCTAATATCTTTACAAGAGGTTTGGGTTTCTGAGGGGAATTTTCTATAACTCACAATAACCTCTTTTAAAAAACTGCAATGTTTTGAGAAATGTGGAAGAGGGCCAGAGAGACATGGGTTCTCCTTCATTGGTCAGAAAATCTGAAGTCTCTTTGTGACAGGTGAACCTATCTGTACTAAGAATCTTCCATCAGCTTCATTTTATTCTTCCCTTTGTTTATTAACAACAAGCACTTCTTTCAAAAAGAAAAAGTGCTGAAAGTACAGACACCAAGAATTATACACCAGTATAGAGCCTTATGTTTAAGTTTTAAATTGTTGCGATATGATCTGGAGAAGCTCTGGAGGGCTGTGACATGTTGGGTAAATCCTTTTATTTTTTTTCTAAATCTAATGCACAAGCATATTTTAGAGTAGATTTATAACTTATAGACTAACCAAAGTAGATAGATAGATAGATAGAATATATTACAAGCTTTTGTGATCTAAAGCTCACATCATCAGAGGTGTGAAAGGAAGTGCAGAAAGCATGCTAAAGGAAGTAAAACTAGAATACAAAAGATAAGGTGGAGGAATGACAGAGAGAGACTGGATGATCCCTATGTCACATAATGAATTAACCATGTTCTGACATCAGCTGCAGAAAGTTATGTAAGTCTGTGGCAAAACACTTTGAACTTCCTAGACACTCTATCACTTACCTAAAGGTGGCTGTTCTCAGACACCAAACTTTTAAAAACAGATTTGAACAGGAAATGGTGGAACAAGAAATCATCCACAGACTGGATTGTCTTAAGTATGGTTTACATAGAGACCATAGATTCTTATCCCATTACCTGGGTTAGCTTTGGTGAATCCTTTGTTCCTATGGCTTTACTTTTTGTTTTTTTTCCTCTATCCCAGCATTGCACCCATCTCATCATCTTGCTCTCTCTTTCACTCTCCCTTGTCTCTTGTATTCTGACTTGTACTGTGCTTTCTGCATAGCCTCTCACAACATCTGATTAAGTGAGTTTCAGCTCATGAAAGCTTGTGATATATATCTACTTTGATTAGTCTGTAATTTGCAAATCTATCCTGCCTTCTACTAGACTTTAGATGAACCCAGCTATTTATATCTCTCTATATTTTAGCAACATAGGATTTACAATACTTTATCAACCTAGTAGGTGATCTAGGCCACATCCCAGAATCATCCCTACTCTAGAAACAATTCTGGGAGAGAAAGCAATACAAGCATTCTTGCATAATTCTGACACTGGGTTGTTTCTGGGCTGGGAAAAGTGTGAGCTGTTCCTGGGGGGACTGAAGGAGCAGGACAAAGCTTTCTGCTTACTTCTCACTCTGGGGATTCCAGTGTGTGAGGATCCAGTGGGAAGTAGCTGATATCTACTCTCCCCCTCCCTTCCTGGTATACAATAGGGGCAGGGGTTGCTGCCCCTCATGTCTTCTCCAGACCAGGGTGACTTGATTTCTGGAAAGAATAGGAGCCTTTCCCCCTGGCTTCTTTCCTCCTGGTCCCTGATAAGCCATGGAAGAGTGTACAAGCATTCATTCTCCTGTGAGAAACTCATCCAGGAATGACTTTTAATTGGTTGGAGTCAGGTTATTTTTCTCCTAGAATTGCCATTTGTGCTCTGAGAAAAGCATTAAGACCAGCAATTCTATCAGTAGAAACGGAACAATACATGGCCCTAGTTTGGTATCTTATCACTAATAGTGATCAGAACCTGATTCTTCAAAGTAAACTGTTGTAGACAATAATGCTATAATTCATCAATAAAGGAAATTTCTTACCAATCTCAGGCAGTTAGTGGTCACCTATGATACATATATTGACATTCTCTACGATCTTACTGTGAGTCTACCTGGAAGTTACACTCTTATTACTGATACATGTCTAATCTCTTTTTCTGGATGCTGTAAAACTCTTTGCCTCAATTCCATATATTGTAGCAAATGAGTTGCACAGGTTAATATTGAGTTCTGACAAAGAATATTTCCTTTTGTAAGTTTATATTGTTTTGCTTTGTCATTTCATTCAATGTCTTGAGTTCTTGTAGTTAGGGGAAAGGTAAACAGGAATACCTGTCTGACTTTTCTATACTATTCTTTATTTTTGTACCTTGGTTACCTCATACTGACTTCATCTCTAATTTAGTATGTAAAATAAATCTCAACTTTAACTATGGAGCCATGAGGAAGGTTCTGTAATATTTCAACACATTTTCTCCTGGGTTTGAATAATGATGTTCTTTCTCCATATTAATTGTAGACTCTATTATATTGATTGCCATTTGGTATAGAATTCCACTACTCTATGTAAAGGCTATTCTTTTACATTTATATTAAAGGCTTAAGGTATCTCAGAAGCCATACTGCAAGCAGACTCAGCTGAGGAAGGCACTAAGACTTGAGGTTTACAAATGCAACTATCAGTTGAATTAATGCAACATGACACATCCCTCCAGAGCTTCTCCAGAACATACATATTTATATATAGATGAACCTCTTTAAGATCCAGTCCATTTGTGTAGTTTTCTTTTATATATATAATTGATCTCCATTTGATTCAATTAATGCAAACCTTTTAAAAATAAGAACTAATAAAAAATAATAAAGAAATATAGTTTCTAATAATATTAATATCAAATAGATGTACTAAATAGCTGGCTGACTAGTCTTTATTTTGCTATATGATTCTGTTCTGGATATTCTGCTATTGGGATTCCCTGAACTAATTACCACATGTAAGAAACTATAGCTTTACAAGATTAAGGGAGTCATCATACCGAATACTACTTAATTCATCCAGAGATTTCGAGCTAACAGATTTAGCTAACAGGACTGTTGCCTTTTCTTTTCTTTCTTTCTTTTTTTAAATTTAGAAAAAAACATAGGGATGAGATAGACCCATTTGTTGACATTCATTCAGAAGTATTTACATTTTTCCCCTTAGAAAAAAGGGGGAAAAGACCACACAATATATATTTATGTGAAACTATTCACTCTGTTACTAGAAATACCCTTTAATTATATTGCATCTACTAATGCATTCATCATCAACTGAAGGCAATTAGTATTATATTATATGATATAATTAATATTTTACATTAGATAATTATATAATATAATTATATAATATAATTAAAATGTTGAGTGTTTCCTTTATAGTTGCTTCTTTTGTGGCCATTATACATATAGTCAAAATACATAGATAAAACTAGTAATAGGGCCCTGGTCCATGATTATGACTCCCAGGCCCTTTATTGATACAAATAATCAAAACTATTAAGACAGTCAGGGATTCCAACTTTTCTTCCAAATTGGTCTCCATACCACTACCTACATCCTGCCACAAGATGGCCTCTGTGTCTAATATTATTCAACAGGGTTTCAGTTTCAGAAAGAGAGAGGAATAAAGAACAATCAAATGTTAAAAGTACTCTTTAAGGCTTTGATTTCATGCTGCTTTGTGCAAAGAAACAAGATGATGATGCACTGGTCAAGGCACTAAGGCCCACTAATAGGAGATCTGGATTAAATTTCCTGTCCTGCAACAAGCTCCGTGTTTAATTTATATGTCCTAGGACCAGGTTTTCGGTACTTTTGGGGAAGGTTGTTCTTGAGCACCCACATACATTCACCCTCAAGCATCAAACTTGAAATCACTGTGATAAAGCAATTCTAGATATATTCTTTCCCTCACACCTAATTTCAAGTACAGTGGAGACAAATCTTGAGAGCAGATGCGGAGAGTACACTCCAAATGAGTTCATCACTGCATTTCAGAGCTTCATGTGTGCAAATGGGAGAGGATGGGTAAGTTGGGCTCCAGAGTTTTCTTTCCTAAGAGACCCAGGATACAATACAGACACATCCTAAGCTACTTTTATGGCCCTCATTACTGTATTTTACAAGTACCTCACAATACCTCTGTGATCAAGTAAAATTATATTTTAAAGATAAGAAACTGAGTCAGAAATCACATAAACAGTCTACGATAGACTAAAACTAAGCCCTACACTAGTGCCCTAACCCCTGAGCCAGCCTCTCTCTTCATCTGAGATCTTGGACAAGTCACATACAGCCGTGCCACACACTCATATTAACGCTGGATAGAAACAAGCTATAGAGTTTTTACACATTTTCAAGCACTAACTTGATGGACATGTTTAGGTGTGATATTACTAAATTTATGCATGATTAACCAGTTAATTGTTTAATAATTATTTGCACAGGTGGCTGGCCTTACTTTCCACATGTGGCTTTTCTAAATTTATTCCACAGTTAACCAGTTAATTGCATAATATATATAATGAGTGGTGGGGCCACAGTTTCTCCATCTGTAAAAAGGAGGAAATCCCTCTTTTACAGCAGTGTTACAAGGAAGGACTACATTGTGAGAGACCACAATAATCAGACCCTTAGGTAATAGAAAGTGAATTCAAAATGATATGGCATGGGTTGATTTGTACTTCCTACACATCTAAGTGACTAGAAGGTACAGCTGAGAATCAGAGCCATTACAAGTTATTAATAATATAGGTGGACTTAAAAAAATTATAGTTTAGTATATCATATAAACCAGTTGTAAGTAGATGCCTGCTTTAATCAGTGGGAAACTTCTGTGTCATCTCAGACAAAATTATCTTTATGAATAAAGTTCTGAATCACAACATTGCCTTTGTAGCATTTGCGAACACAATAATGCCAGCAAAACAAGATAATGATGCTTACCTTCCTATGTAAAGCACTTTCAAATTGATGGATGGAAAAACATTTTCAGAATGAGGTTTAAGTAATTATTTTAATTTATAACGTGAAAATTCTACTTTAAATACCAATGCAACATGTGCATTAAGCTATCAAAAACTTTTTTTGAATATGGTTGTTTGCCTCAACTTTTGTCATATATTGGGTAGTGTCAAGTTTATTTTAAAAATACGTATACTTATTTTAAAAA